CTTCCGAGGTAGACGCTGCTCCCACGTGGAGACCCAGGCCGGACAGCTCTGTCAAGGCAGCTCTGACGGTAGCTGCCGTCCCGGGTGAGAGGCCTCGGCTTTACTACGAGAAGCGCAAGGTCTGGGAGGGAACGAGGGAGGGGTCCCGGCCCGCGGCACCGGGCGATGACTCAGTGCTGCGGCAGCCGACGCCACGCAGTGGCGGAGCCGCAGGTCCCACGACCTTCCCGAGGACGATGGAAGCTGTGTTCCGCCGGCGGCGCTCTCCCCGGGAGTCCTCTGGGAGTCTGGCCTTCGGAAGAAGCAGCTGCTTGTGCAGGGTGTGCTGGGGTTGCGTAGGCAGCAAGACCCCGACTGGGGCGGTGGAAGAGCCTTGGGAAGCCGGGAGACCAGCGCCCTGGCAGTCACCCGCGGGGACTGCAGCGGTTGCTCAATGCGCGGTGTAGAAGGGAGAAAACCGGGCGCTTCCACAACTGAGACGCCACCCTCTCCGAGGAAAAGCAAACTCAGATAATCGCGAAAAATGGGGAAGCAGGATAAACCAGTGGCTCAGCTCCAAGGTGTCTTCGTGCTCTCTGCCCTTCAAGGGTTGGGTTATTCTCTCGGGAGGAGACGCATACCCAGGACTAAAGCTGACAGCGCACACCAGTATGTATTCAGGAGCAATACCATTGTGGCTGCATTTTCCAGTCTCCTTGGACAGGCCCACCTTCTTCCTTACCTGTTCCAGAAGCATCGGTGCACTTCCTGTGTGCTTCTGTAACAGACTTAAAGGCTGGGGCCCAGTGAGTAGTTAAAAGCAGGATGGTCTTGGCATCTTTATCTACATTCTGCCTCCTTTATTACATTACAACAATGGGTTAGACCGGGTGTGGTGGTGCACACCCGTAATCCCAGCATTTGGGAGGCTGAGACAGGAGGATCGCTGCAAATTTGATGCCAGCCTAAGCTACATAGTGAGGCCCTGTCTCAAACAGACAAACAGTGAAGACAGAGGTAAGGACCTGATCTCTTGCCCTTAAAATGAATTCTAAAAAATAGGAAAAAAAATGTAATTCATTGAAGTAGATAAAACTGCTATTACCAGTTTAAGATTGTTCACATTTCCTGCAACTGCCCTTCACCCCACTCCCATACTGGGGTCTCAATCTAGGGCCTTCACTCTGAGTTACATTTCCAAATCTTTTTATTTTTTTTGGTACCAGGGATCAAACTCAGGTCCTTATACTTGGCAAGGCATGCAGTGGAACCACTGGGCTAAATCCCTGGACAGATCTTTGCTTTTTTAAAGCAAAACATTTATTGGTACATTTTAGATGCACATAATGGAAATGTGTACCTGTACATGACATACCTTGCTTCTTTTTTTCCCATTCTCCCCCTTTCAGCCTCTGTACCTCACCTTATTTACAAAAGCTTTGTTGCCATTTTTCCTTCTATTTTCCTTTGGTTCCTTCTTTCCTTTCCATCTTCTGCCTCCATTGTTCCCCTTCTCTCTCTCTTTTTTTTTTTCTTTGTTACTGGGGATCGAACTTGGGACCTTGCGCTTACAAAAGAGGCAGTGGCCCCACTGAGCTAAATCCCTGGCCTCCCCTTTTCATTTGAACATTTTCTTCCCATTTATCTATTTTCTATTTCTTCCCATAATATCTATTATACATTTTTATCCTTGTTTCCACTTTTTTTTTTTTTTTCTGAGACAGGGTCTCACTATGTAGTTGAAACTAACCTGGAACTGTGTAGCCCAGGCTGGTCTCGAACTCACAGCGATCCTCCTGTCTCAGCCTCCACTTTCAGTTTCTTAAACCAGAGAAACAAGGAAGTATCTGAACATGTGTGTCCAGTTTATTTCACTTAAGAGTATGGTCTCAAGTACAACCATTTAGCTAGAAATGGCTCAAAGTTTATCCTTAGTACTCCACTGTATAAAGAAAAGCACTTTATCCATTCATCAGTTGATGGGCATTTGGGCTTTTTCCAAGATTTAGCAATTACCATCTATGCTGCTATAACATGGATATGTATATATCGCTGTGGTGTGATGCTATTTATTTTTGTGTCAGGAGACACAAAGGGGAATAGCTGGGTCAAATGGAACCTCCAGGTTTGGGTTTTTTTTTTTTTTTTTTTTTTTTAATACTGGGGATCAAACTTAGGTCCTTGCACTTGTGAGGCAGGCAGCAGCACCGCTGAGCTAAATCCCTGGCCCTATCATCTAGTTTTAGTTTGAGGAATCCCCACACTGATTTCCACAGTGACTGCACCAGTCTACATTCCCACCAACAGTGGAGAAGGGTTCGTTTTTTCCCATAGCCCCGTCAGCATTTGTTATTGGTTGATTTCTTTCTTTCTCGTTTTTTTGGTACCAGAGATTGAACTCAGGATCTTGTGCTTGCCAGGCAGGTGCAGCGCCACTGAGCTACATCCTGGCCCTTGGCTGATTTCTTGATAACAGCTATTCTTTCTGGAGTGAGATGCAATCTCAGCATTGTTTTAATTTTCTCAGGGATGACTTTTTGTACTGAGGATTGAACGTGGGACCTTGTGCTTGCAAGGCAGGTGGCGGAACCACTGAGCTACATCCCTGGCCCTCGAATAACTATTGATGTTGAACATATTTGTACATTTGTTTTATTTATTCATTTATTTAGGTATGAAATAGATAAATCAAACTTGCACTTGCGCGGCAGGCAGCAGAATCACTGAGCTACATCCTCAGCCATTTTGTATATTTATTTGCTGTTAGTACTTCTTCACCCGAGAAGTGTCTGTTTATTTCAGATGTCCATTTTTGGATTGGGTCTTTACATTTGGGAGGTCTGATTTTTTTTCAATTCTTTATATATTCTAGGTATTAATACTTTCAGGAAAGCTGGCAAATTTTTTGTCCCACACTGTGAGTTGTCTCTTCACTCTGTTGGTCATTTCTCTTGCTGTGCAAAGCTTTTTAATAAGATGAGATCCCAGTTGTTTATTCTTTGTGATAGTTCTGTGGGACCGAGGTTTTGTTCATAAAATCTTTGCCTACACCAATGTCAAGAGTTCTAACTATACTGTCCTCCACAAGATTGTGTTTCTGTTTTAATATTTGGATCTTCGATCCATTTTTATTTTAGTTTAGTGCATAGTGAAAGATATGGGTCTACTTTTAAACTTCAGTAAGTGGTAAGCCAGTTTTTCCAGCATCATTTATTAAGGGACCATCTTTCTTCCATTGAAGATGTTTTGCTCCTTTGTTAAAGATAAGGGGACTATATCTGGAGTTGTTTCTGCATCTTTTAATCTATTCCATTGATCCTTGGGTCTGTTTTGTTTTGAGACAGGGTCTCACTATGTAGTTGAGACTGACCTGGAACTATGTAGCCCAGATTGATCTCGAATTTACAGCAATCCTCCTGCCTCAGCCTCCCAAGTGCTGGAATTACAGGTGTGCACCACCACACCCTGCGGGTTTTTTTTTTTTTTTTTTGGTTTTTGTTTTGCCAGAACCATGCTGTTTTTGTTACAGTAGCTTTGTAGTCTGATTTCAAGGCAGGGATTGTGATATCTCCTGCCTTACATTTGTTGCCCAGAATTGCCTTTGCTATTCTAGGACTCTTCTGGTTCCAAATTAATTTTGGGGTGATTTTTCTAATTCTGTAAGATATACTGTTGATTTTTTTGGGGGGGGGTTTGAGACAGGGTCTCACTATGTAGTTGAGACTGAACTGGAACTCACTATGTAGCCCAGACTGATCTTGAACTCACAGCAATCCTCCTGCCTCAGCCTCCCAAGTGCTGGGATTACAGGCGTGCACCACCATGCCTGGCTTACTGTTGGAATTTTGATTGAGATTGCATTAAGTCTGTATAACAATTTTGGAAGTATGGCCATTTTTACTACATTGGTGCTTCCTACCCAAGAATAAGAAATACCTTTCCATCTTCCCCACCACGACTGGGGATCAAACTCAGCACCTTGCATTCGTGAGGCACATGTGGCACCACTGAGGAAAATCCCTGGCACTCCATTGTCTGATAGCCTAGTTGATCTCTTTTTTCAGAGTACTGTAGTTTTTAATGTAGAGGTCTTTTACTCCCTTTGTTAGATTGATTCCTAGGTATTCCCCCCCGCTTTTGGACGCTATTGTCAAAGGTGTTGTTTCCCTAATTTCTCTCAGTGTTTGTTTTTGTTATTTGTGTACAGGAAAGCTATTGATTTTTGAGTGTTGACTTTGTATCCAGCTACTCTGCTGCATTTGGTTATTAAATCTAGAGGTCTTTTGGTGGAGCTTTTGGGATCTTCTGTGTAGAGCATCATTAAATAAAATTGACAAACCCTTAGCCAACCTTATCAAAAAAAAAAAAAAAAAAAGGAAAGACTCAAATCCATGTGATTAGGAATGAAATGATAATTTCACTTCTTCCTTTCCTAGCTTATTCCTTTTATTTCTTTCTCTTGCTGAATTGCTCTGGCTACTATTTCCAGAATTATATTGAGTAAGAGTAGTAACAGTGGACATCTTTGTCTTGTTCCTGATTTTATAGTGAAAGCTTTCAGTTTTGTCCATTTGGTATAATGTTTGGCTGTTGGTTTGCCATAGATAGTTTTTTTTTAAATTGAGTTTATTGGTACAATCTAGGTATACAGTACAGTTACATTCATCATTGGGATCTTGTACCTTTACATAATAGGTCTTGATTCTCATTTTTTCCCCTTGTCCCTGCCCTCCCTTCACCCCCCTCCCCATTTACAAACACTTTATTTCCATTTTTTCAGTTTCTCATATTTTTTCCTCTTCCTTAATACCTTTCCCCCACCCTTCCCACTTTCCCTACACCTTTAGCCCTTTACTTCCTATTTCACATTATTAATTATCTCATTAGGATCCTATGTACTATTATAGTTTTCACACCAAAGAAACTATTCGGTATTTCAGTTAAAGAAATCTCTGTATGAACATTTAAAATAGGGGACCCTAAAATAAAACTTAAAAGGAAAGTAAAAGAGAAAAGGCAATGATGAAACATTAAAATAATCCTTATTTCTGGAGATGAAAATGGTCCCTGAACATATTTAAATTGCTTCTTGCTCATATAGTCTT